CAACAGATGCTGGAGGGGATGTGGACAGAAGGGAACCCTACTGCATTGTTGGTGGGAGTGTAAACTTGTTCAACCACTTTGGAAAGTAGTATGGAGATTCCTCAAAAGACTCTACATAGTGTTCCCCTATGACCCAGCAATCCCACTTTTGGACATTTTACCTGAATGTTTACAATCAAGACCATACTGAAGCTACCATCACAACTATGTTTTCTGCAGCATTATTTGCCTTAGCTAAGATATGGAACCAACCCGGATGTCTCTCAGTAGCTGAATGGATCAAGAAAACGTGGTATACCTACACAATGTAATTCTATGCCTCCATTACTGCTTTTTATGAACTTTGTTTCCTTCAAAGAATCTAGGAAATTTTCACTTAGGTGAAATTCTATGATATCAGCACTTACAACAATAAAAGTGTTTTTGTATGTTTTCCCGAGCCATAACCACCTCAATTTTTATCTTCTTCTTTATTAGGTGATTTTATTCTTTTTTTTTTTTTGCTGAATGACTATCACGAGTATTGATAATGCAAACGTTAGGGTATTGCAATGTCTTATTGAATTTTTATACTTTTTGTATGTTCATTGAGTCCTGCAAACGTATTAAAATTGAAATTATACAACTTACATTGCCTATATGTTTCTGTAAGACATTAATTTTACCCTGTGGATTATTATCCTTGATTTCATCTCATTATGCTTGTCTTGCCTGCTCACCTATGAAGGTCTAGGAACAGATTGATCACTCTTAGACACTCTATAGTCATGCTCACTTCTTAAACTGTTTCTAGCTTATTGAGCCCTTTCCCTGTGCCAAGAAGAGTTCTGGGCACTGAGAAATAAAGATAAGCAAGATCCAAGCTTTTTGTGTGAGTAAAATGTAAGGGTTTTTTTGTTTGTTTGTTTTGGGGTCCAGTCAAGAGGCCTGAACTCTGGGCCTGGGCGCTGTCCCTCAGCTCTTCAGCTAGAACTCTACCACTTGAGCCATAGAGCCACTTCCAGTTTTGTACTTTTTGCTTATGTGGTGCTGAGGAATCGAACCCAGGGCCTCATGTATGCAAGGCAAGCGCTCTACCACTGCACCACCTTCCCAGCCCCGTAAAAATGTAAGTTTTAAGATGAATACTCTCCCAATAGGACTTATGTTTAATTTATGACAGATTTTAGACTTGTCTTAATGATTAGTGATAAGGATTCCTGGAGATAAATTTGCCTGCAATAGACTGGAAAATCTTTCTCAAAATGTAATTCAAAGCCATGTTCTATCATAGTAACATTAGCAATACAACCAGTTGTCAGAATTTAGTTATTAACTGAGAAAAGGAGAATAGGGTCTGTAATTCCAATACACAATTTTTAATTGACTTGTTTGGATTGAATATATCTAGGGAGAGATAAAGTATTTCTTTATAAGTTATGGACTTACCTGTCCCATTAGCATTTTCATGTCTTAGGCAAAATGTAAAATCAAAGCAACAGGCAGCCTTTCCTTCCTGAGGGGATTTCCTGAATCCAGGACCACAACTCTCACTCCAGATGTGTCAGTAACTTTTCAGACTCATACCAAACATTACAACAATCCATTGTAAGACTACAATGGGATGTTTACGCATAATGTTTTATGCAGATAAGTGCAGTCCATTTAGTGAATCCTATATAGATTACAAATTCCATGATTCCTAAAGTCTATGTGCTTCAATCTTGATTTCTAGCCTGTTGAATTATTGAAAGGTATGGGATTTTTAAAAGGTGGAAAGTAGTGGTGAGAAAATAGTGCACAGCCATATGGATTTCCTAGAATTCATGGCGTTATATATTTTCTGCTACTCCTCTGTGACCATGGAAAGAGCCAGAAGGAGACTTCCACTTTATAGGGTTATGTGAGCCCCAGGACTATTGTTTCTTTCACTTTACTTTCCAGTGGTCATGATGTGAGAATCTTCTCACAGATGCTTTCAATGATTCCTCTAGCCAAACATGTTTAAATAGCAGGTTAATTAACCATTGAATGAATCTCCACAGAAAGGAGCAAAAGAAACGTTTCAACTACATGAATTAACTCCTCAGGTACTTTATCATAGTGTTACATATCTACTGACATAAATGTAATTTACATCTTATGACAATATTCAAAATCAACATGTAGACACATTTTTAACTCTTTTGGTTCTGATTCTGGGGCTTGAAATCAAGGTCTGGGCACTGAACTTGAGGTATTTTTTAAAATAAAAGTTAGCCCTCTACTTCCTGAGACACAGGTCCACTTCGAGATTTTTGGAGGTTAAATGGAGATAAGAGTCTCACAAACTTTCCTGTATGAGCTGGCATTATACTACGATATTCCCATCTCAGCTCTATTAGTTGCTAGGATTATGCGAGAAATTAGCTGGCACTCAGTCAGGTTCAAATTTAAAGAGTGAATCACTGATTTGTGTGTGCTTAAAATTATTAGGATTAGATCCAACCCACCTCTCTAGTTCCAATGGCCCATTCTACCATATCTCAGATTAAGACAGTTGATTACCATGTAGAGCATGTGGAGAAAACTTTCCTATTCTCACTGCAAGTTCCAAACCTTCTGGAAAATTACAAATATTCAGAATGTCATACTCTGGCTCCAATTTCCTTTTCTCATCCCAAATCACTTGATCTCTAGTAGGATTGTCAAACTGGACATTCTTCAGAAAACTGTGAAGCTAAAAGAGAGACATCATCTTATGGTGAAGTAAATTCTAGAGATAACACAGAAAACCTGGAATAAGAAACACTCCCAATTGCCTTTATTCTTTGATTCTGAAATTAAAAAGAGTAGAGACACCAAATGAATTGTCTCAGAAGAAAAATCTATGGAGGAATAAAAATAATCATTCTGAAAAATAATCTTTACTGGTCACTTGGAAAAGGGTAGAAAGATATTTTTCCAGAGAAATCATTTCACTCCATCTTGCCAAAACCGCTATTTTATGAATGTCTATAATTTGAAGTTCCTAAATGTTTAATTCCAAAAGTTGAATAAACTTGGTCTCTTATGAAAAATATGGATAATTCTGTTCATTAGATCATCTTTTGCTATGACTGAAGAAACGGATAGAGAAAAATCTCAATTTGTAGTTTTCAAAACACTAGCTATGAGGTTATTAGTAACTAAACGAATTCATGAGCAAGTTGCTGGTGGCTTAAGGATGTAATCCTAGATACTCAGGCTGCTCAGATCAGAGATTCATGCTTGGAAGCAAGCCTGGGCAGAAAACTTAGTGAGACCCATGTCTCCAATAAACAATTCAGAAAAATCCAGAAGAAATGCTATGTTCAAGTGGTTGAGCGCTAGCCTTGAGCACAAAGACACTCAGGGTATAACCCAAGCAGTATGATCCAGTCACTGAACTGGACAAAATTAATTTATAGAAATATGGAATAGAGTTTACCATCTTTTCTGGCCTGTTGTTTTCTTAACAACATATCCATATATGTCTAGATTACCTCAAAGACATGCGAACATAATGAACCATATAGGGTTTTGAAAAGCACCTGAAATATTTAATTTTTAAAATGTGAATCTACATTTGTTCAATTTTGAGCTTATAGTAGTGACTAATCATAGAAGATAAAAGCCTAAGAATTGAGAAAATTGCTTCAAATACTGAAATATTCATTAATTTCAACAACCAAATTGTATATGACATATTAATACAAACATATATATACACAAATTACGTATACATACACACATACAGAAACACACATGCATATAAACAGAAATATTTAATTTCCTACAGTAAGAAAACAATCTAGAAAGTGCCTTTGCTCCTGGTGTGTGTACGCCAACATAGAAGAAATTACATGTTCAGGGGAAGGGAATGTTTCTTTTCTATTCCCCATTGTTTGAACTTCTGTTTGATGAAGAAGCATCACATGGAGAGCCTGGGTCACAGCATACACAGCATTGTATACATTGTAACTGTCTCCAGACATTGTCATGTCAAAAACATGCCTAGGTAACCAATCCAAAGAGGCATCATGATCACAGTTGTCCCATGTCATACAGACAGACTCAGAATCTGAGCAATTAAAAGAAAGAAACCACAGTCTGGCAAGAAAAATGTCTTCTGGGTATTTGGAAGACTTAACTACCTTGATAAAATCTGTGAATCCAGAAACATCTACATGATGGTGTGTAAAAATCAGAGGCACATGGAATAAGACTAGCATGAAATATTTCCTCTTCGTGGTGAAATCCCACTGAGAGTTCATGATTCAAACTTTGCCATGAATAAAAATTTGCTCAATAAATACCAGGAAAATTATCAGTGAATCAGTATCACCATATATGATGAGGACACTTGCTGAAGATAGATTTATCTTGTTATGAACTGCCATGAACTTGAATATATATGACACATTTTGGGTTGAGATCATTAACTCATAGGCTACACAAAGTCTATTATTGGCCATCTCCTCTTTCAATTCAGCAAGAACATATGCACCATGCTCATTTTGTGTGGTCAGTAGTCCCACCCAGCTCCAGTTGAAGTGAAGCAGTAATGTGACCATGGCAGTGGCTATTGATGTGTCCTTTGGGGCAAGCTGATAGAGAGCAGGAAACTTGACATGGTCACTCAGGGCATGATCAAAATTCCCAAAGGTAAACTAAATTGGAAAGAAAATTGGATGCTCCATGAATGAGATTTCCATGCATTGTAATCTCAGTCTTGAATTCTGTTAAGAACCAGTTGAAGTAGGTAGAAAGTAGGCTTTGTTTTAGTTTTTGAAAAAAATAATTTGCTTTTGAAAAGTTGCAGAACATATCAATTGACTTGTAATTGTCTCTGGATGTTTGTCACAATTTCCATCAACTCTCCCCATCTACATCAATCTGACCCACTACTAATTCCATTTTCATTCATGCCCATTGTATATCATGTTGTTTTTTGCCAACCATCTACTCCATATTCCTTTGCATTTTTCCCTTAATACCTACCCTACTCAGACATGATATGCTTCACCTTTTTGTTGTTAATTTTTTGTGCTGTCAATAGATCAGAAAATTTACAGCATGGAGTTCCACCGCTGTATACCATACTTTAGTCGAATCGATCATATATATATATATATATATATATATATATATATATCTGTGTTTGTGTTCCAAAGTTATTTCATATTACATGTTCATATATTAGATCCAACTTTCACATGAGAGAAAATATTTACCCTTTCTCATGCTGAGCCTGATTTACTTCATTATACATAATATCTTTCGTGTGTGTGTGTATTTGTGTGTGTGTTTGTGTGTGTGTATTTTGTGTGTGTGTGTGTGTGTGTGTGTAGATATGAATACCAGTACAGGGGCAAAAACTCATGGTTTCTTGCACTTCCTTGGCAATCTCCCTCAAGACTTGTTCTGTACTAATTGAGTCCCACATTCACCTTTTGCCATTTGCAAGTTAATTGGAGATACAAGCTTCCTGATTAGCTAGAATCACTAGTGTGATCCATCAGTATCCTGCTCAGTCAGTACATTGCAAAGTCCTTTTCCATTTCCTGATTTATTAAAGAAAATTATTGATGAAGCTTGAAACAAAAATTTATCCATTTGTCTGTTCAAATCTTCTTTCTCTTTTTCCAAAATGTGAAAACATATATTTCCAACTATCTTTGAGTAATTAGCCTTTGATACCACAAAGTTTGATTTGTTCATAAAACTAGTCTCTTCCTGTCATTCTTTTCTAAAACCTGAATTGGCACCAAATTAGACATTTTTGTATCCTTCCACACCTTCCACCCTCACCTGTGGAAATTTGTAGAGTCCCAACAATGTCCCGATCTGCTTAGATATTATTCCTGTAAGTACTGCTATAGACCTGCTGTCTCTCATACAGGAGTAGTTTCGAATCTTGTACTTCCGAAAAAGACAAATGAAGGGATTCTTAAACATTGTCCAACCTCTGAAGTCAACATCACAGACATCAAATCCCAGAGTCAGGTTATGTAAAAGATGAGGATTATTGTTGATCTCCTCAATAGCAAGAGCCAAGGCCAAAACACACTGAGAGTTCTTAAAGATAAACCTGCATAATGAGCAAAGAAACTGAAGAGGAGTATTTCAAAACTTAAGACTTCAACACATTAAATGTTTGTCTTTTTGTCAAGGAATATTTTAAAATATTACCTCAATTAGAATGGAATGTATATGTAGTGTCTTATGCATGTATAAAGATCTAAGGACATGAAGGGAATTTGTCATGAATGAGATTCAGATACTTAAATCAAGGGAGAGCTTGTTCTCCACTTTATCACATGCACCACAGCAAAAGTCTTTTCTTTAGATATGGTTTTCATAAGACAGCAAAAGTTGAGTTGCCTTTGTATTAAGGTAACAAGCTACACCAGTGTCGAAAATAATTCTCGTGTTTTCAGTCACCAAGTTTATGTTGTGTGTTTATATGGTACATCAGGCTAACAAAGGAATGTTTAATTCAAGTTCAATATTCAGAAGCAAAGTGTTGTTTATGAATGATTCTATAGCAAGCTCTGCTCACAGACTAACATATTAAATAGCTCTTACTGATAACAATCAGAAAAAAAGAGCTGAAATATCATGGGTTGGTATTTTATTTTTATTTATGTAACAAAACAAAAGGGATGCATACAATGTCAAGGAACTCATTTTGGAGACAGGAACCCATGACATGAGGGTTAAGGAAAGAATGGTAGGTAAGCTTTGCATAGAAATCTCAATTCCAAGTCCTCCATGGTAAAATGCATTGATCACTACCCTCCTCCCAATAATTTAGTTTGAGATACTGAAAAGAACCAATAGAACAAAATAAACAGGATCAAAGTACTTTTCCTTCTTTCTTTTTTTGTTTTGTGTTTTTGGTTTATTGTACATTTTTATTGTAAAAATACTGTAAGACAGTTACAGTTACATGAGCAAGGTAATGAGCACATTTCTTATTAATCATTGTTGCCTCCTCCTTTGTTTTTCCCCTCCTATACTTTCCCTCCCACCTCCACAACTACACCCTACCCAAAGTTGTAAAGTTTGTTTTCAACATAATATCTTGTACATCTCATTGTTACAATGGGTCAACCTGTATCCCTAATTTTCCCTTCCCCTCCCCGAATTAGACAAGTGTATATACAAGATGCAGGGCACCGACATCAAATACAGTGAAAACGGGGGTTATACCATGGGGAAGGAACATACAAAGTAACAAAAAAATCACATGGTACATTATAAATACGTTAGAAATAATAGCAAGAAAGAAAAAATGCCCCTATCTTGGGGTTAATTTTATTTAACATCACCTTATATGGTCAAACATACATAGCTTTTGAACTTTTCTACATGTCTTATTCATGTACTAGTTATTGCAAATAAGGGAAACAATGGTACCTATATTTCTTAGGGCCTGGCTTACTTCACTTAATATTATTTTTTCCAAATCCTTCCATTTCCCAACGAATGGGGTGATGCCATTCTTTTGTCCTGTCTGTGTATGCCAAGGTGTGTGTGTGTGTTTACATGCAAGTTCGTGAGTGGGTATATTCCAAAGAAACTAATATAATGAAATCAACTGGTATTGTTTAAAAAGGAACAATAAAGGCACATTGGAAATACTAATGAAATGATCAACTTTAATCTACACTGTAGATATATGTGATGTGGTCACATGATAGCCTGTCATATTCTAAAACTTTCTAAACAGAAGGAAAAACTGAGCTTGAGGAAAATTTAAGTGAACATCCACATATGGAGGAATGAAATGTAATAATGAAGATTGGGAAAAGGGTTTGTCAAAAGTTGACGAGAGTATTTTCAAAAAAACAAAGAAGAGAGGCATACAAAGTAAAAGTCCTAAAGTTGAAAAGATAATCAAATTTTGGACTATTAAATATACAGCAATCTGTCTTAGCATGAAACACAAAGAAGTGGAATACATATACAGGAATGATTCTCTAAAGGAGAACAGAAATGGGACCTATATCACATAGGTGTAACACCCATTTCTATAACACCTGACTCCTCAGTAGAGTCAAGAGATCATTGCAAGGGATCCTTACATTACTGAAGATAACAAATCCAAATTATTCATCACAAATATTGCACCTAGCAAAGCTAACCTATAGAAATGGAGAAATGATAAATATATACCATAAGTAGCACAATTAAGAGAATGTTTCTCCACTAAACCTTTCCTACATGAAATACTGAGGTAAGTTTTACAGACCACAAAAGAAGTCTGGGTCATAGGGGAGCTCTATGTGGAGTCTTTTGAGGAACATCCATACTATTTTCCAAAGTGGTTGAACAAATTTACACTCCCACCAACAATGCAGTAGGGTTCCCTTTTGGCCATATCCCCTCCAGGATCTGTTGTTATTAGAGTTCTTGATTTTTGCCATTCCAACTGGTGTGAGGTGGTATCTCAATGTTGTTTTGATTTGCATTTCTTCTATGGCTAGAGAGGGTGAGCATTTCTTCATGTGTCTATTGGCCATTCTTATTTCCTCTTCAGAGAAGTTTCTCTTTAAGTCTTTAGCCCACTTATTTATTGGATATTTGTTTCTTTGAGGATTTGAGTTCAAGGTATATTTTAGATATGAACCCCTTATCTGTTGTATGGCTAGTGAAGAGCTTCTTCCAATCCATGGGCTTTCTATTAATCTTGCTAGCTATGACTTTGGCATGCAGAAGCTCTGAAATTTAATGCAATCCCATTTGTCCAACCTTTCTTTGATTTGTTGTGTTTCTGGGTCTCTATTAAGAAAATTTTGGCCTGTGCCAAGGAGACATAGGGTTTCTCCTATTTTAAAGTTTTCAGGGTCTCTGCTTTGATTCCAAGGTCTTTGATCCATTTGGAGTACATTCTGGTGCAGGGTGATATATAAGGATCTAGCTTTAGTTTTCTACAAGTGATTAACCAATTTTGCCAGCACCAGTTACTGAAGAGGCTGTCTTTCTTCCATTCTATTTTATTTTAGTGCCCTAATCAAAGATTAGGTGTCTGTAGGTCTGTGGGTTAATTTCTGGGTTTTCAATTGTATTCCATTGGTCCTGAGGTCTGTTCTTGTGCCAGTACCAAGCTGTTTTGATCACTACAGCTTTGTAGTAGAGTTTGAAATTTGGTATTGATATTCCTCCATCACTGTTCTTTCTGCTAAGGATCATTTTTGCTATTCAGGGTCTTTTATTGTTCAATATGAATGTTTGGATGGTCTCTTCTATTTCCTTGAAGAATGAGGTTGGAATATTGATAGGTATCCAGCCCCAAAGAAACATAGGTCCTATGGTTTCCCTTACTTACAATAACTAGTATATGACTAGAAAAGGTCAAAAGCCATGTACATATAACCAATAAGCTAATGTTAAGCAAAATGAACCCCAAGGTAGGGACACAATGTTGTTTATTTACTTGCTTTTGTTGCTAATGTGTGATTTTTTTTGTTGCTAGTATGTTCCTCCCCCTTGGTATAACCCTTGTTTTCACCGTATTGTTTTTGGTATAATTTGGAGAGGGAATGGGAAAAAAACAAAATGTTTAAATAGGGATACAGTTTGACCCATTGTAACAATGAGATGTACAACAAACTGTTGGAATGACGAACTTTAAAGGTTAGGTGGGGGGAGTGTAATTGAGGAGGTGGGAGAGAAGGGGTAGTAGGGGAAAAACAAAGGAGGCACCAGCAATGTTGGATAAGACATATACTCATCACCTTGCTCATGTAACTGTCATCTTTCTGTACAGTATTTTCATAATAAAAATCTTATTTAAAAAGATAGAAAGATATTCTGTGCCCATGGGTTGGAAGAATTAGCATTGATAAAAGGGAAAAACTGTCCAAAGTATTTTACAAAGTCTATACAATATATTAATCAATAGCTGGGTGAGATGGTACATATTTTGTATTCAATCTATTTATGTGTTTCTCTCTGTGTGTGTATCTTGTGTCTGTGTGGGTGTATGCGGGTGTGAGTGTGCTGAGAAGGAGGGTTGAGATCAGGAGGATTGTGATTTCAAGCCAGCCCAGGCCAAAACAATATCCTGAGATTCTGTGTAAATAGACGAAACTAGATATTGACTCATATGCCTGTCATTCCAGCTATGGCAGCAAGCATCAATAGAAAGACTGGAGCCCAGGCATGGGCATATAGCAAAATCAAGATAGACAAAATTAGTCAGTGAAAAGAAGGGCTTGAGATATGGCTCATTCAGTATCTGCTTATCATGGTCCTCAAGAAAGCCTTGACAAGTGGATTTGTGTCACAATGAAAGAATCCACACAGTCCACAAAGAAGCTAAAAGAAGCTAAGAGATGTCATTCATGCCCTGAGTTCAAGGCATAGTAGCAGAAAAGTGATCAAAAAATGAATGTTGGGAATGAAATAAAGGTCACGACTTGTGGTGAAGGCAGAAGATCCATGGAGATATACCAATTTCCACATGATCAACCTATTTAATAAGCATTTCTAAAAATGGGTAAATGAGATCTGTAGAAATTGTTTAAAGAAGGGATGGTATTGAAGGATGTTATTTGTTGTGTGTCTAAACAGAGTATATTATATACATAAGTGGAAACATAAAAACACTTTAAAAGATACTTTACTTTTTTAAATAAGTATTTTATTGTGAAAATACTGGCCAGAGGGGTGAAAATCACACAAGCAAAGTAATGAATACATTTCTTATCAAGCATTGTTGTGTACTCCTTTGTTTTTACCCTACCACCCCTTACCACCCACCTCCATAACTATTTTCCTTCATTTTCCCTTACACCTAAATTATACAGTTCATTTTTCAACAAAGTGTCTTGTACATTTCATTGTTGCAATGGGTCAACATATCCCTATTAAACAATTTGTCTTTTCCCTTCCGCTTCCCAAATTATACCGACATCAAATACAGAGAAAATAGTGGTCATGCCGAGGGGCAGAGACATAGAAAGCAACAAAAATCACGGGGTACCTTATAAATACATTAGAAACAATAGCAAGAATGAAAAAACAAATTGTGTCCTTATCTTGCGGTGGATTTTACTTAACATGATCTTATATGATCTTTTCTGCTTATCTCAGATATACACTAGTTATTGAAAATAATGGAAACCATGGGAACAATGTTTCCTTGGGCCTGGTTTCCTTCACTTCATATAATTTTTTCCAAGTCTTTCCATTTCCTAACAAATGGGGTAATGTCATCCTTTCTGATGGAGGCCTAGAATTCCATTGTGTATATATACCACATTTTCTTGATCCATTCATCTACTGAGGGGAATCTGGGTTGGTTGCATATCTTAGCTAGGTTAAATAAAGCTGCAATAAAAATAGTTGTGCTGGTAGCTTTAGTATGGTCATTTGGGTAAATGCCCAATAGTGGTATTGGTGGGCCATAGGGGAGCTCTATGTGGAGTCTTTTGAGGTACCTCTATAGTACTTTCCAAAGGGGTTGAACAATTTACACACCCATCAACAATACAGTAAGATTCCCTTCTATCCACATCCCATCCAGCATCTGTTGTCATTAGAGTTCATGATAATCACCATTTTAACATGGGTGAGGTGGAATCTCAACGTTGTTTTAATTTGAATTTCTTTTAGGGCTAGAGAGGTTTTCCATTTCTTCATGTGTCTATTGGCCATTCTTATTTCCTCTTCAGAGAAGTTTCTCTTGAAGACTTTAGCCCACTTATTTACTGGGCAATACTTTCTTTGAGTTTACGTTGTTCAGGGATTTAATTTATTGAGTTCCAAGTATATTTTAGATATGAGACCCTGTCCATTGTATGACGAATGAAGATCTTCTCCTAATCCATGGGCTTTCTATTGATCTTGCTAGCTATGTGCGTTGCCATGCAGTTGCTCTGCAACTTCATGCAATCCCATTTGTCCACCCTTTGTTTGATTTGTTGTGTTTCTGGGTCTCTATTAAGAAAATTTCTGCCTGTGCCAAGGAGATCTAGGGCTTCTCCTATTACTTTCTATAATGTTTCCAGTCTAATGCTTAGACTCCAAGGTCTTTGATTCACTAGGAGTTGATCCTGGTGAAGGGTGATATGTAAAGATTTAGTTTACTTTTCTACAAGTGATTAACCAACGTTGCCTGCACCAGTTACTGAAGGGGCTGTCTTTCTTTCATTCTTTTTTAGCTCCCTTATCAAAGATCAGATGGCTATAGATCTGTGGGTTTATTTCTGGGTTTTCAATTCTATTCAATTATTCCTGAGGTCTGTTCTTGTGCCAGTACCAAGCTGTTTTGATTCTTTTGGCTTTGTAGTAAAGTTTGAAATTTGGTATTGATATTCCTTCAGCACTTTTCTTTCTGTTAAGGATAGTTTTTGCTATTTGGGGTGTTTCATTGTTCCATATAAATGTTTGGATTGTCTCTTCTATTTCCTTGAAGAATGAGGTTGTAATATTGATAGGTATTGCCTTGAATTTATACATAGCCTTGGAAGTACTGCCATTTTCAGGATGTTGATCCTTCCAATCCAGGAGAATGGTGGTTTTTCCACTTTCTAAGTGCTGTTTTGATCTCCTTTTTGAGGTTTACAAAGTTTTCATCATAGAGGTCCTTCCCTTCTTTGGTTAATTCCTAGTTATTTTATTTCTTGTGGGGCTATTACGAATGGAGTTGCTTTCCTGATGTGAGCGGTGTCTGCTCCTTGTTGGCATACATAAAAGCCATTAAGTTTTGATAGTTAATTTTATTCCCTGCTATTTTGCCAAAGTTTCGAGTCAGCTCAAGTAATTTGGCAGTGGAGTCTGTGGGATTCTTTAAATACAAGATCATGTCATCTGCAAAAAGGGAGTGTTTTATATAATCTTTCCCTATTTGGATCCCTTTTATGTTCACACCTTGTCTTATTGTTGAAGGGAAGTGGAGAGAGTAAACATCCTTGTCTCCTTCCTGAGTTCAGAGGAAATGGCTTTAGTTTTTCACCATTAATTACATTAATTATAATGCTGTCTGTAGGTTTGTCATACACAGCCTTTATTATATTGAGGAATGTTCCCTGGATTCTAAATTTTTCAAGGACCTTCATCATAAAGGGGTGTTGGAACTTGTCAAATGCTTTTTCTACATCTATTGAGATAACCATGTGGTTCTTATCCTTGCTCTTGTTGATGTGATGAATTATATTAATTTAATTGATTTGTGTATATTGAACCAGCTTTGCATCCCTGAAATAAATCCTATTTGCTTGTGGTGTATGATTTTTGGATGAATTGTTGAAGTCGAATGGTCATAATTTATTCAGAAGTTTTGACCAATGTTCACTAAAGAAATCGGTCTATAGTTCTCTTTCTTTGATGAGTCCCTGCCTGGTTTTCGTATGAGTGTTATGATGGCTTCATAGAATGTGCTCGGTAGTGAACTTTCTCTTTCAATTTCTTTGAAGAGTTGAATGAGTATTGGTGTGAGTTCTGATTTGAAGGCTTTGTAAAATTCCACTATAAATCTATCCAGTCCGGGGTTTATATTAGATGGGAGGTCTCTTATTGCTGTTTCTATTTCAATGCTTGAAAGGGGCCTGTTCAGTTAGCTTAACTCATCTTGGTTTTGTTTTTGAATATCAATATTTTCTAGGAAATCATTCATTTCTTCCAGGTTCTCAAACTTATTAGCAAAATAGTTTGAGGAGTATTCCCATATAATGTTCTGGATCTTGGTTTTTTCTGTGATGATGTTTCCATTCTCATCTCTGAGTTTGTTTATTTGGATGTGTTCTCTTCTTTTTCTGATAAGATGTGCTAAGGGTCTGTCAATTTTGTTAATTTTTTTCAAAAAAAACAAGGCATTTGAGAAGATCCAACACTCCTTTATGATGAAGGCTCTGGAAAAATTAGGAATCCAGGGAGCATTCCTCAATACAATAAACGCTGTATATGACAAACCTACAGCCAACATTATACTTAATGTTGAAAATCTACAGCCATTTCCTCTTAACTCAGGAATGAGACCAGGATGTCCACTCTCTCCACTTCTCTTCAATGTAGGAGTATTAGAATGCCTAGCTAAAACAATAAGACAAGATGTAAACATGAGAGAGATCCAAATAGGGAAAGATGAAGTAAAACTCTCCCTCTTTGCAGATGACATGATCTTGTATTTAAAGAATTCCACGGACTCCACTGCCAAATTTCTTGAGCTGATTCAAAACTTTGGCAAAGTAGCAGGGTATAAAATTAACAAAAGAAAATCAATGGCTTTTCTGTATGCCAACAATGAGAAAAGTGCAGCTGAAATCAGGAAAGCAATTTGTAATATCCCTAAGAAAAAAATAACTAGGAATTAACTTAACCAAAGAAGTGAAGGACCTATACAATGAAAACTTTTAAAACCTTAAAAAGGAAATAAAACAGAACTTAGAAAGTGGAAAATCTTCCCATGAACTTGTATTGGAAGGATCAACATCGCGAAAACAGCAATATTTCCCAAGCCTATCTACAAATTCAACGTAAAACCTATCAATATTCCAACCTCGTTCTTCGATGAAATGGAAGCGCCAACCAAAAATTCATATGGAACAATAAAAGAACCTGAATAACAAAAATGATCCTTAACAGAATAAAGAGTGCTGGAAAAATATCAATACCAGATTTCAAGCTCTACTACAAAGCCATAGTGATCAAAACAGCTTGGTACTGGCACGAGAAGAGACCTTGGGACCAATGTATAGAATTGCAAACACAGAAATGAACCAACAGACCTATAGCCACCTAATCTTTGATAAGGGAGATAAAAAAAAGAATGGAAGAAAGACAGCCCTTCCAATAACTGGTGCTGGCAAAATTGGTTAATCACCTGTAGAAAAATAAAGCTAGATCATTATATTTCACCCAAATCAACTCCAAATGGATCAAAGACCTTGGAGTCAAAACAGACACCCTGGAAACATTACAAGAAGGAATGGAGAAACCCTATGTCTCCTTGGCACAGGCACAGGAGAGGGCAACAATGCTTCATAATAAATGTACTCATTAACTTGCTCATGTAATTGTAACCCTTTTGTACAGTATTTTATCAATAAAAACTATTAATAGAAAAAAGAACTCTAATAACAAGAGATGCTGGAGAGGTTGTCGCCAGAAAGGAAAACTATTTCATTTTTGGTTGGAGTGTAAACTTGTTCAACTACTTTGGAAAGTAGTGTGGAGGTTCCCCAAAAGACTCCACATAGACCTCCCCTAAGACCCAGCAATACCCCTTTTGGGCATTTATCCAAATGATCACAAACAAGACCATACTAAAGCTACCAGCACAGCTATGTTTATTGCAGCATTATTTACCATAGCTAAGATATGGAACCAACCTAAATGCCCCTCAGTAGATGAATGGAGCAAGAAAATGTGGTATATATACACAATGGAAATCTATGACTCCATCAGAAAGAATGACACTGCCCCATTTTGTCATAAAATGCAAAGACTTGGAAGAAATTATATTAAGTGAAGCCCAAAGAAATGTAGGTCCCATGATTTCCCGTATTTGCATATATATATGCAAATTTATATATATATATATATATATATCTGAGACAAGCAAAAAGGGTCAGATAAGATGATGGTAAGTGAAATGGACCCCAAGATAAGGACACAGGTGTGTTTTTTTTTCTTTTTTGATATTGCTCCTAATGCATTTATGAGGTACCACTTGATTTTTTTGTTGCTTTGTATGTCCCTCCCACACCGCATAACCCCAGTTTTCACTGTTTTTAATGTTGGTATAATTTGGGAAGCTGAAGGGAAAAAATAAATTGTTTAAATAGGGATACAGATTGACCCATTGGAACAATGAGATGTACAAGACGCTATGTTGAAAACTAAACTTTGCAATTTAGACAAGGGGTGGGGGAAGGAGAAATGTAGTTGTGGAGGTGAGAGGGAAGGGATGGTAGGGGAAAAACAAGGGAGGAAGCATCAATGCTTGATAAGAAATATACTCAAATTATCTTGCTCATATGATTGTAAACCCTCTGTACAGTATTTTCACAATAAAGAACATATTTAGAAACAGAAGGGATGATAGAATTAAGCACAGATTAAGTAGGAGGAACCAAAACAAATAATCAAACTCCAGGTTAAATTGTAATCACCATCACCTTGACTACCTCTGCTATGAAAATGCACAGTAGGTCCTTAGTCTTCAAAACAAAACATCCATAATATATATACCATACAAGATAATTACTGTAGATTTAGATCAGGCCTTCTGTATACTAATTGAACCTGTGTATGTAATCTCAAGAATACTTATTTGTCCTACTATGCTTTTATTCCTGAAGCCATGCAGAGACTTTCTATTTGGCATTGACAAAATGATGTAACACTTTGGGGCAAAAATGAAGCCTAGGTGTACTGCACCAGAGGCCAAGATGGAGAAGACCTCCACAGGCAACATGACCTTCCCCTTGGCACTGTGATAGACAGGCAGGAAGTTGAGCCACACACTGCAGAACACCAGCATGCTGAAGGTCAGGAACTTGGCTTCATTGAAGGTGTCAGGCAAGTTCTTGGCCAGAAAAGCCACAGTGAAGCTGGACAGGGCCAGGGCACCCAGTTATCTGAGGACACAATGAAGGCAATGAGGGAGGCATTGTTGCAGAGGATGATGGTATTACAGCAGAATTCTACAAGGCATTCAAAGCACATCTAACACCAATACTCATCCAACTCTTCAATGAAATTGAAAGTTCACTACCAAACACATTCTATGAAGCCATCACAACCCTCATCCCAAAACCAGGCAGGGACTCATCAAAGAAAGACAATTATAGACCCATTTCTTTGATGAACATTAATACAAAGCTTCTCAAAAAATTTGGCCAATGGAATTCAACAATTTATCCAAAAAAGCATACACCATGATCAAACACGATTCATTTCAGGGATGCAAAGCTGGTTCAATATATGCATAATCAAGTAACATAATTCATCACATCAACAAGAGCAAGGATAAGAACGACATGGTTATGTCAATAGACACAGAAAAAGCATTTGACAATATCCAACACCCCTTTATGATGAAGGTTTTGGAAAAATTAGGAATCCATGGAACATTCCTCAATACAATAAAGGCTATATATGACAAACCTTCAGCCAGTATTGTACTTAAGGGTGAAAAAATAAAGCCATTTCCTCTTAACTCAGGAATGAGACAAGGATGTCTACTCTCTCCACTTCTTTTCAACCTAGTATTAGAATGCCTATCTACAGCAATGAGACAAGATGCAAACATAAAGGGGTTCCAAATAGGAAAGAAGAAGTAAAACTCTCCCTCTTTGCAGATGACATGATCTTGTATTTAAAGAATCCCATAGACTCCACTGCCAAATTACTCAAGCTGATTCAAAACTTCGGCAAAGTAGCAGGGTACAAAATTAACCCCTCAAAAATTGATGGATTTTCTGTATGCCAACAATGAGAAAAGTGTGGCTGAAATTAAGAAAGTAACTACATTTGTAATAGCCCCACAAAAAATAAAATACCTAGGAATTAACTTAACCAAAGAAGTGAAGGACCTCCATGATGAAAACTTTAAAAACTTGAAAAAGGAAATCAAAATAAAACTTAGAAAGTGGCAAAAAACCCTATTTTCCTGGATTGAAAAGATCAACATCATGAAAATGGCAATACTTCTCAAGGCTATCTACAAATTCAATGAGATACCTATCAAAATTCCAA